ATTCAAGCAACTTTTAAAGTATGAATCAAACCCCGTTGTTTGGAACTTATGGTTGTCTCGAAATAAGAACTGTCTCTACGTGTGGTTGAGACAATATTTTGCTGTTGCATCCTACCTAGGATAACTCAAAGAATGTCCGCAGTCCCTTAAACTTCGACACAACAGTGTATGACATCATTGTGTTTACATTCCTGTAGTTATGCTTCCAAGACGCTTAACAGTGAAACCTCACTCCAGGTAAACATGGCGGAGACTCCCAAGGTCAACACCAGCTGACCATGTGCATGCAGTATTTTTTGGGACGACTGCTATAGGACATGGACAATCGATGCGATGTCGTGTGGAGATCAAACAATCTACAAGCTGACCAAGCCTCCGACGGTTAGGATTGCTTACTATGTTGGTAAGTTTGCAATTTTATTGTACAGCCACAACCATAAATCAACAATATTATATTTTTGGTGAGTGTGCACGTGATGAACATGAAGTTGAAATATGACATTGTGTTTCATGAGAACACTAAAGGTACGTGGAAGCTATAATTCTCGGCGTTGGAATCGTAAATTGACTTTGCTTTTAGAAATTAGATTTTCTGAATATTCAAATATTTTGTCGAAATGAAACATCGATATTTTCAGTACATTACGTCAACCACTCTACATGAAAAGAATTGTTTGTTTTGTCATGGCCGCTTACTGTATATTACGTAAACGTAAACTATTACACCGAACTACGGTTATAACGAAATAAACTTAGTGGTGCCTTAAAGTTCGTTATAACCGTAGTTAATTGTATATACAATCATGTTATCATACGGTTGGAATTACTGTAGCTGACATTAGAATTGGATGGAAGGATGTTTACCGATATACCGTTAATATACCGATAAACTCAACTAGGTTAATAAAACCCAGCAAAGTACTGCCAGATTATCATAATGACAATATGAAAGTGTATTTTATATAAAAACGTTTGTATATGTGTGTATGTGTGTGTGCACATTGATGTATGCAAGACTGAATGTGTTGTGTGTAGAACGTTCATGTAATACTGCTTCCTCCAACACTATGTCTGCTTAGTGCTGCTCTATGTACAGCTGCTACTAACACTATTCCTAATGCATGTGCTGCTGCTGTTTCTTGCTGCTACCTCTTTTGCAACAAGTACTCTACGTAATTGTAATAATACTTTTAGGTATTTCCTCTTTGCAAATGGCTGCGCATTGACTTATTGATTTTTAAGCTGAACTCGTAGTTCCATTATCTGTATTGCTCTTGTAAGGTTTTAATGTTAAGTACGTTGTTAGAAGAATACCGGCAAAGTTAACACTATTTGTCAAGGTACATCTTCATAACATTTCTCATCAAACGTCATCATTTGAGTGTAAATGAAATATTAATATACTCAAAGAACTTAGTTAAGCACCCACTGACATATCTCACGATTGCATGAGCCCCGATGGTAACCCTTTGGAGCATATCTGGGACATGATTGTCGTCGTGTGCAACAAAGGGTCCTCCTGTACAGAACCTGGCCCAATTGGAAACTGCTTTACAAGAGGAACGGCGTTGACTGCCCCTACAGAGGATCAGGAGTCTGACAGGGGGTGGGGAGGTGAGTGCTGGCTGTCACACAGTCACATGAAGGTTACACTCGGTATGGACCTTAAATTGTGTAAGACACGCAAAATGACATTTTGAAAGTTCACATTCACCAATAAATTCAACATTAAACATCCCAGGGTCATACTTGTACAGACAGTTCTGCATGAAAATCAGTGTTTTTAAATGAACAATTATCATCTTAAATCAACACGGATTCCAATCATTTTGTCAAAGGATCATATGGGTCACCATGAGAAGTTTCATGTACGTGTTGAAAACGTATCATTGCAAAAAAACATGGGGTGCTTAATTAAGTTCTTTGTGTATATCAAATGAATAATTATTTCAAGCAAGCTCCTTACTTCATGTGTATCATTCACTTGTGAAAAGCGGAATCTCTGATATTCAACACAATAGTCTCAATTCAAAGTGAACAACTGGATTTTCTTAATCATCGATCACTTGATTGTCTGGTTGGTTTACAAGCCGTCCTCGTATGTCAGGAGTATGTTCGGAGTCGGTCTGTGAATACTTACTTTATAAGCAAATGTGTATATTTTTTCGAAAAACAACACGTCTTTTCTGAGGGTTTTATATATACGTTGCTTACATCCATTCAGCTACGTGTTTTCTGCATTCACGAGCATGTTAAGCATAGTACACTGAAAGGACACCATCGTTCCGTAACGTACAGAGTCAGGGTTCAAATGTATACTCAGTAACAGTCTTCCACTAGCTTGAATTAAATCTGTTGGTGGTCACGACATATATATCCCCTGCGTCCTGTTTGTGATACCCGTGATTTCTAAAGAGGTAGCTGGGTGGTTTTCAATATAGACAGACATGTAATGAATTATGCACATAGAATAACAGAGTAGAGACAACCCTTGCCATAGGAGTCCGGAAGGTCGTGCCGGAATACGGAATAGACAGGTGCCGGATTAGACAATGTTTTAATGATCATTATATCATTGTAAAATAGCGGGACCAAAAGTTTATGCCGGTTTGTGACGGTGTATGCCGGATTAGACAGGGTCCGGTGTTGGCAGGTTTCACTGTATATGACTAACCTGCATATATCCCACCTCCTCGTCCATATCAGCCACGTGAACAGAGTAAATGTATTGGACATGTTTTTACCTGTAACATGAACTCCCATGTCGTGTACCAGATAATGGTATTGTCATGTTACGTCGGGCCTTTGAATCTGTACTCATGGATCATCGGTTATGCAGGTCTATAACTATGCCTCTTTCTCATGTAACAATTTTATACAGATTCAAGCTCATATCTGTCATGCAATTGCTGTTCAGTACTGTTTATGTTTTTCCTACAATGACATAAGATACTGACTGGCTCTTTGTGAACGTTGCTCTCAACCCAACAGGGAAGCTGGCTGCTTGACCGTAAGCATTGTTGGACGGGTAATCAATACCTACCCTTTCGTGCAGACTGCAATTGTGCTGTTACCAATGTTCCACACGGGTGGGCACCACACAACAGTCAACGTGGATTCGCCACGATAACATGACACGACAGGAACGACTGATCTGTTTGCTACCTGAGTCAGTAGTTACAATGGACAATATCTTCCCATCAACTATGACAGTGAGAATACTGTGTATCAGCGTTCTGTTCCTTGTTGTAGGTAAGTGGTGTCACGCCATGTATTCGCTAGTCATTTCGGGATGAAAATAGCAAAACAATTTAAAATACATGCGTTTTAATAAGAATACATTCCGTTAATCAACATAAAAGACAAAGAAGTTATTTGTATCAATCAAGGACACGGTGTACGCCGTTACGAAGACAACAGCGCTCAGATTAACAACCATACGTCACAGGACACGCACTCCTAATCATAGGCGGATCCAGAAGGGGGGGTGCAGGGTGCGCGCACCCCCTTTTGTTCTGAACTTTTATTAAATGACCATTGAAATTCGGGTGAAAATGAAATGTGCACCCTCCCTTTTCTCAATAGTATGCACCCCCCCTTTCTAAAAATGTTGTATCCGCCCCTGCTAATTATCCCGAAACGGTTGACAGAACCAACGATGGAACTGATATTGCTAATCTCATTCGTTCTTTTACGACCGCCTCCGTGGTGTAGTGGTTAGAGCGTCCGCCCGGAGAGCGGAAGGTCGCGGGTTCGATCCCCGACCGCGTCATACCAAAAGACGTTAAAATATGGTACTTGTTGGTCCCTGCCTGGCGCTCGGCATTAATGGTACAACAAGGACTGGTCGGCTTGGAGTTAGTATAATGTGTCTGAGTGGGGTATTCATGCTTCACTGCGGCATGGTATCTCAGTGAGCTAGCACTATAAAACCAGCTTAAGTCTGGGCTAGTACAAGCAGCCGCACATACACATACATACGCATGCACCTCGTCATATGAGCGAAATATAATTCAGCACGACGTTAAACCCAATTTCACCTCACCTCACCTCACCTCACCTCACTGTTCTTTTACACAATGTACATAGAAGACAATGGCGTCTATTTTTTAAACTTCAGCGACTTCCTGTGAATGAGACTTAAATTTGCAAAATGACTATAACTCGATGTCACTGATGCCTTCAATGAAAATAGAATGCCCAGTACGCCAGCCGTTGGTTCAGTGCCCTGTTTACAGCTTCCGACCCCTGCGTCGACCACAAGTACATCTACGACAACGGGGGGACGCAGCCCTAAATGTCCCTACCAACCGGAGGAGTGTGACCGCTACATCACGGAGAACTGGTACCAGGTGGTCAACTACCATGGGGCTCTGGAGATGCCGACATCCCACGTGGACATCAACAGCTGCGGCCAAAACATACTTTGCCAATTTTACTTCAGACTATATTCATTTTTGTCAACAGAACCATAAGTATATATATATATATGGGGATCAAATATGTGGGATCAAATTTGGTTTAAATATCTAAGCTTATTGTAATCATGGATCCTAGGTTTCAGTATGTCACTGCATCTTGTGGATCCCATACCTGCTATAGACAGGTGTTGTGTACTTGTCAGTGACGTGTTCCATGATTTGCAAACTGGTTGATTGGTGCCAGGAAAACCATTTTTTATGGTTACTCATGTATCAAGTGCATAAGGTTAGATTAAAGTTACTGTTTGCCTAAAGAGGGGTTACCATAATATTATCTATCCAGTTTTAAATGGATACAATTCAAATCATAAATCTACGTTTAAGTAAACTTGTGAATTCGTGTTATCCTAAGCAAGGTGTGAGTAGTAATATAATCCCTCAGAATATCAAATGGTTTGACCCTAAGGCAGAACACTTGTATATATAATGTTTTCAGGTAGGACAAGTGAAACACATTTAGAAATAAGAAGATGTGACATTTGTAGTTTACATTTATTCATTAACAATTTATACTCATTGATTTGATTCACTCCGGAACCCTTCCCTCTGTCTCAGACGACATCGTGGACATGACTGTTTGTGTCAGTTTCTACGACGAACCCTGCAAAAAACAAGATATAATCCAGGTGAAAAAATGTCGTCATTTACTATGTTTACTTCCTTATGAAGATGGGCGGCTGTCCTGAGAGATGCTCCAACAAAATGCTTACAAGTACCTAAAACAGTGGAAAGATTTTTTTTATAAGTGACTCCATGACCGCAAGAAAAATATTGTCCATTACGTAAACCTTAAAGGTGTGTTTGCAGTGGAAATGACTCCACCCCTCTTGCCCCGTCCCCTAGCCCCTACTAATTAGTACCTGTAGCCCCACACTTGGATGTTCTGTTAGCTGTGCTCACTCCCCTGTAACTGGATTAACTGCTACTATTAACTAACTCGTTAGATCAGGTGTTGGTTGTTAGTAGGTGACTAACGGTACTTGGTATAGATAATAGAGAATCACGGCTCAGTGATCATTATTGATCAGTAGATGATCACTGTTGCTAACAATTGACAAAACAAATATGAAGATTCTATATTTGTTTACATTCCTAAATATATTCATTCCGGTCTTGACACATTGTCTGAATGCAGAGTGCAGATCAGTTGTTTTACGCACCATACATATACTCTCCCAAAAAAGAAACGCATCATGAAAATAGCAACTTCATGTAGCAATGAATTAAAACGTGATTCATTTTACAAATTAAGGGTTTTGCTCTGTTTATGAGTCCTATGGTGTTTATGTTTTGAAACATCACAACAAAACGCACCATCCGTAAAATACCCGTATGTAACAGCATGATTTTCAATTTCGGCGTGTAGTGTCACAGAATACACAATTCACATGCAATGCAAGCGAAAGTTGGGGATCAGATAGTCTCAATGATGGGTATAAAAGGTTGATCGCTGTCTGTCGATTATTCACTGTATTTGGAATATTGTTGACGAACGCAAAATGCCACGTCTAAGTGAAGCCAACCGTCATATCGCCATTGGTTTGCTTGAAGCTGGCCAGTCTCAACGTGCAGTTGCCCGACGCATGAATGTTCACCAAAGCACCATTTCACGGCTCTGGGAGAGATATCGCCGGCAGAATGCGGTAGCAGATGCCCCTCGTAGTGGGCGACCTCGAGCGACCACTGCGGCGCAGGATCGCTACATCCGGGTACATCATCTGCGTCATCGAACAGCTACGGCGATCAGTACCGCTCGACAAATACCCGGATTGAGGAGGCTTTCTGCACAGACCGTCAGGAACAGCTTGAGAGAGGCTGGTTTACGTGCCAGAAGACCTTATTGGCCCTGTGCTTCGACAACAACATCGTCGACATCGAGTTCAATGGTGCACCAACGTTCAGGCCTGGAACCTACCGAATTGGCGTAGAATCTGGTTCAGTGATGAATCACGATTTCTATTGGAACGACGCGATGGAAGAATGCGGATGTACAGACGTCGACGTGAACGTTTCGCCGACGCTTGCGTTCCCAGGTGGACAGATTCGGCCGGGGCAGTGTTATGATGTGGGGGCGATCACCTGCCGTAGGAGAAGTGATTTGGTGATGATCCAGGGCAACCTGACAGCTCAACGGTACTGTGACGAAATCCTACGCCCACACCTCCTTCCAATCATTGATCGCCAGAGGGAGTTGTTTCAACAGGACAATGCCAGGCCCACACAGCACGTCACACTAGAGACTTCCTCCAGAACCACAACATCAATGTGCTCCCCTGGCCCTCAAGATCACCGGACTTAAACCCGATCGAACATCTGTGGGATGCCCTGGACAGACGGGTGCGACGCCGTAACCCTCAGCCCCTGACACTTCAGCAACTCGCACAGGCACTACAGGCAGAGTGGGCTGCGATTGGGCAACACGAGATTCTGAGACTTATTCGTTCGATGCCGAGGCGATGCCGTGCAGTTCTGGATGCCCACGGTGGTCACACGAGGTATTGACTTCAGCGCCACCACACGTCTCCATGTGACACTCAAACTGACTTTCCTCGAGTTGGTGCCAAAGACGGATAAGTCTGCATTCCCAGTGTGCAATTTCGCTATATTTCATTGACTCATAAAGCCTACAAGATGTTTCAAAATAAACATAAAAATACAGATGAAATTCCTATATGCCTTTCTTTTTGGGGAGAGTATATTATCCATCATATGTCCAATGGCACACCGGTATGAGTCAAGATTTCTTTATACAGCAGATGAAGGAATAATTAGGAAATTCACCGTATAGTCTCCATATCTAAAATGACTTTGCAAGTTATGTTGTCAAAGACGTGCAGAAAGGTTCAGTTTTTTACTATTTTCATTTCCTCTGGGGAAAGTCAGAACAAACAGAAACAATTCAAACAATCTGTCGGTGAATGTCTCAAATCGTCCCCAAGGAACAATATGAGCACCACACTTTAAAATGAATAGCCAACTGTTCCCTTATCATAAATATTATATACCTTTAATAGGTATTATGTTTTGAAAAAATGGAATGTTAATAACCTTTTAATGCCAGTTTAAGAATATTCGATGCACCAAAGGAGATGGAACTGCTGCGTGGAGCGACCTAATTATGAGATAATGGTAAATGATTCCAGACATATTCAGCTACATAAGCACTCATATATCATGTTATACCTAAACATTTTGCAACTGATGGTTGAGCATGATGGTAATAGTCAATCTGTGTCGATAGTTCCTGTTTAATAGTCATTAGTCATATTTCCATAATGATCAGATTCGATCATAGCATTTAAATCATTCATTCAAATCACTATCAACATCAACATGCAGCTCTGGTTTTCAAGACACAGGGAAGCAGGTTTGGATGTTTTAAAATATCAAAACTAAATCAATGTATAGAATAATATCAATCCAATGTTCACAAAATTCAATTTTTATTCTGTATTTAATGTAGAATAATTTTTTACAATTACATTATTTTGATACAATACGATGTGTTCTTTTGGTTTAGGTTCGACCCGTCACAGAGTAGAGGTTAAACAGTTACCTGAAAAACGGAGCCTGTCCTTATAAGGAGTCTGGAATATAATCTGGCCTACATGTGGTCGGTTGTTCGTTCATTACACATGTCCATAATACATGCATGTTGAAGAGAACTGTATTTGCATATATTTGCATATATCCAGATATTTCAACATACTGAATGTCAATATTCTACTCATGTTATCGATCAGTGTAATATTGCAATAAATACGTTCAAATGGCACCTCAATTACATCTTTCTTGAGCTGGAAAAGTTTAATTCAGCTTACTTGCTGATGTCACTGGTCATGGTTAGTTTGAAATTGCGAGGCTTAGATTTTATTTGTACCTTGCTCAATGATTTTCTACTCAGCATACACTGCATAAATATGGGGTAGGTTTTCCCAGAAACTGCGGAAGTGATATGAAAGTTTGCATTCTTGTCTATGAGATGCTGTGAAGAGAGCGAATGGTAGGGGTAGCCTAGTGGCTAAATAGTTGGCTCGTCACGCCGATTCCCCAGATGGGGTATTTGCCCATTCCTGCTGTTCCCCGCGTGATATTGCTGTAATATTGCTGAAAGCGGCATTAAGCCATACTCACGCTCTGCAAAAAAGTGAGTCCGAAATTTGTTACCGTACAACTGGTTTTGCACAGTTACGGCCCTTCATCCATATTATGTCAGGTTCATAGGCGTCAGCAATGGGGCCAATCGAAACATCGCCATAGGCCGCCTTGAAGCTGGGGAGTCGCAGTCTGCAGTTGCCCGGCATCTCAACGTTCATCAGAGCACCATTTCTCGCCTTCGGGATCGTCTCCTGCAGACCAATTACGCCCAAAATTCCCACCCATGCCCAGTACCGCTATATCCCGAGTTTATCACTTGTGTCATCGTCTTGCCACAGTCATGGAGACTGCACAACACATCCCTGGTTTGAGAAGAATTTCAGACCAAACTGTCAGGAATCGATGGAGTGAAGTATGGATTCGACGAAGAAGGCCAGTTGTCGCCCCTGTGTTGAGAGACTTCCATCAGCGCAATCGCTTGCGGTGGTGTGTCGTTGAGTCGAAACTGGAACCTTAGAAACTGGAGGCGAGTCACGTTCAGTGATGAATCACGATTTCTTCCTCATTGGCGAGATGGAAGACAGCATGTTTACCGTCGGAGAAATGAACGTTTTGTCCTGAATGCATTCGACAGGTCGACAGATTCGATGGATACAGTGCCATGGTGTGGGGTGAGATATCCAGCACACAAAGATCAGATTTAGTGGTGGTTCAGGGGAATGTGACAGCAAATCGGTACATAAACAAAGTCCTTGCACGTCACATGCTGCCGATTATGGACCGACAGAAGGTGTTGTTCCAGCATGACAACGCTACTTCACATACAGCACGCGTCACGGTCCGCTACATTGCCAATTCTTACGTCAATGTCTTGCCATGGCTTTCCCGATCACCAGATCTAAACCCAATAGAACACATGTGGGATGAAGTCGATCGACGTATACCTCAACGTCATATCACGCCTCAGACACTTCCACAACTGGCCATCGCATTTGCAGGAAGAGTGGGGAAGAATTCCGTAAAGAGCGACTTCGTCGACTTATCCAGCCTGTGACGAGACGGTGCCGAGCAGTAATTCCTGCCATTGGTGGCCATACAAAGTACTGACTTTGGCGCCATCTTGTGGACTCAAGCAGGGGCGGATACAGCTTATTGAGAAAGGTGTGTGTGCGTGCGTGCGTGCGTGCGTGCGTGCGTGCGTGCGTGCGTGCGTGCGCACACACACACACACACACACTTCAGTTTCACGAGAGTTTCAATGGTCATAAACTTTCAGGACAAAAGGGACCCCCTCTGGATCCGCCTATAGACACACAACAATAAAGGCCGCTGTTGGCGAACTCTTTGTCTTTAGACGTGTGAATTTTCACCTTTTTACCACTGAACTTACATGAAATAAAATTGCTCTTAAACTATCGCAATAAATTCTTCTAAAAAAATGGCTTATGCGTTTCTTTTCTGTGAAGAGTGTAGTTTCACATATTTGTATGTAGTGTTTGAACGGATTTTGAAGTGATACACATATAAGTCAAGGTTTTATGTATGTCAACGTCTTTAGTTTGAGGAACACGACGTTTCGGAGAATCGTTGACTTTGACGTTGACATCAATAAATTCTTGCTTTCACATATGTGTAGATCACCCAGGTGTTGATTCCCATATTAATCAGTTATCCTTTATGTAAACAATGCCCCAAGGTTACATATTGTCACAGCGTCACAACCTTATTGGTCTTCATACTCGCGTTCCTGTTGCAGCATTCAATATACAATTGTGCTCTCATGTTGCTCCTAAACTGTTTGGGGGCATTGTCGTGACATCCATTATCTTCAGGAATATATATTTATAACCCATGTATGATTCTGACTAGATCATGAACACGTATTTATGAATCACTGTCAAACAGTGATGATACAAGAACATGTGATCCTATATATTGTGGGGGGGCGTGGTTGGCGAGCTGGCTAAAGCGCCAGGCTAGTGATCCGGCGAGCTTGAGGTGGCGGGATCGAGCCCACCTGTGACCGGGTGTAAAACCTTGTAGTCAACTTTGTGTGCAGACTCTTTCAGTGTTGTCACAACTCCTGGTGTACAATACACAACCCTGTGCACTTAAAAGAACCCACGAATCCGTTGGTACATGACCAGATGGTGGCCGCATGAATACGTGCAAACACCTAGTTGCGGGTACAGCAACGTGCAGTAAACTTGGACAAAGTACTGTGACTATGTGTCCAAGTCCACCCTAGCTGCCAATGCGTACCTCGTAAGGATGGGAACGCCACACTAACTCGGTGCGCCTAGTGGCTGCAAGAGTTTTATGATCCCCAGGGAGTTGAGATTGATAATACGACGTGCCGTTGAGACTGACATCCAGTGATCGAGGGAAAAACAAATCGCCTTTGAGCAGCTGAGATGCGTATGTTTGACGTTGTTTGTCTATTAAGAGTCAGGAAACAGATATATGTTACAAAGTAACTCAACACGGTCCTTGAACATTCAGGTTAGAATTGATCTTGTATACGTCCTGTCATGAGAGGCGATAAAGGGACAGGGTGGTCCGACTCACTGCCGTGGTCTGCTGCATGTCATCGTATCCCAACTGCGAAGAGCGTGATGATGTCATCCACGAGCAAAACAACATGACCATGACGCCTTGGTTCCACTGACACACTGTCTCCAGGGGAAAACTCAATTGTTGAAGAAATACAATTAAAATGGCAATTTGTTCAAAACAATTTATAAGGCGATGTGAAAAGGAATTACCAAAATTGTATACAGGTTTACTTGAATCTGTTCTGGCTTCACAACCACAATCGAACTAAACGTTCACGTTGTCCTCCAAGGATGAGATGCTGGCTTTTAACTTAAAATTACACGATTTGTACATATATCAGGTATAGGCGGATAAAAGGAACATGTGTTTGTTCAACAGGAGTGATGTACGGTTATGATTCCAAAATATACACAAAACAAAAGGCACTTTTGGAATATGCAAACGTGGCCTTTAAACACAAATGATGAGACAATGATTTCTGTATGCATGTATCCATTTAAAACGCACTGGTGAGAGAAAAGCGTTATGTCCCAACAATCTTATGACTTCTACTTGTTCAAGTTTCAGTATGTACCTTTTCTGAAGAATATAATGTCTTGCGCGCATGAAAGTTTGGTTGCTGTTTGTTGGTGAGGGTGTGTGTTTCAATCTGACGGATTCGAACGTAAATAGTATACCAGCTCAAATCTTTCCATGCCGTATATTGGCTCGAAAAACATAAATTATTTATTTACAGGAAAGCAACAGAGATGTTGTAGTTATTTAGCGACCAGGAAGAAAAACGATTCGACATACGTTTAAAGTAAAAGACAATGTTCGACTCTTGTTTAAATGAGCTGTAATCAAATCCTATTACGCATCCCAAATCCTTATCCTCATTGCAACCCTACTTTTTGCCACATGTCAGATCTTCCACCGACCCGGGGTCTGTACATGTGCTTTTTGGTATAGAGCATGGCAAGCATGGCTGGCGCTGTGTTGACCTTGTATAGACTTGGAGGGTACGGCTATGAATGATGAAATAATCTAACAATTTAACATGAACTCTATAACTAAGCCATCAGCATTCCGAGGCCGGCCATCAAAACCGCAACAGTTCCTGTACCACCTGTGGAAAGTAAGGAAATCACAATATTGTTTCACAACTTTCATACACAATACATTTATCCCAGTCTACAAATTCATAGGCGTTTCTTTCACGTTATATCAAATGACGGGATTTCACAGGTTGTGAGTCAGTGTGCGAGTTGTGTATAGAGTCACATTTAGAATGGAACAAGTGTTTGGCATGATAAACCAATGCTTTTTGATTTTCACAGCTTATTGGACGTTTCCGCCTAAGGGATTCTATTCTGCGTTCTTTTGCACTGCCGTTGTATGTTTAAACCAGCCACCTGCCGCGCAGAATTATAATGTGTCAACAACATTCACAGTGTCTTGACAACAGTAATACACACTTAGGGTGCGTTCTCACGGTGCGACTTGTAGGATAGAACTTGTAGTAACAGCAAATATCACACGTCAATGTTATTTACGTACTTTTTAAATCGCAGAGATTATCTCGTATGACTCGGCAACATGGATTCGTCGAGTAAAGAAGAAACGCTAGCCTTAATATCAGTCTACATATCGCAGTCACTAAAGAGAAGAAGAGAACGCCTAAATCGGTCCACACTTGAATTCTTAGGTGGATCAAGGCTGGAGCGTAGAACTCGCTTCTTGAACACGAAGATCCAAGGTCATGAAGAATTTTCTCCCTTTGGACAATTAAAATTTAAACATTTTGTTGGAGAAAATTTCGCAATACATTGGGAAGAAAAGTATCCCCATGAGAAACAGCATTCCGGTTGTATATTCCATAGACATTCCTGTGACAAGTAAAAACCTATAAACAACTCGGTTATTCTTCTTTTGGTAAGGTCGATTTTTTGTCAGCCGTCACGCTCAGGTGGACACAGATCAAAGCGATTTCATTGGTCGAGAACTTGAGACTTGTAGTAGGATTTAGGACAAAGCGGTATGCGATTTCAAATCGTTACGATTTGGGTGTTCTGACGTTGCAATTTTGTTGCATGCTAAAAGTTGAAGCCACAAGTCGCACCGCGAGAGCACATCAAAAGAGTAAGTGCTAAATATGCTGATGCTAGTGGTGGTGGTGGATAGGTGTGTGTGTGTGTGTTCGTTCATGCGTATGGGTTCGTACATACATACACGTCTCTATGAGATTAATATGTATACCTTTTTGGAAGTTTGCTTCTGAAGGTACAGGAGAGTCCACACAAGTATGATTTGCCTTCCCGTTCTCGTGTTCCGGGCTGGTTGTCTCCCCTTGCTCTCGTGTTGCTTCCGTTAGCGTAGAAGGGGAACAGATGCCATATATACCTGTCAGTGGAGTTTGTGTTGGAAGTTGTGTTGACAAAGTTTCCCCAATAACTACTGCATAATTATATTCAAAATATTTTTGGTTAATGTGTTTGAATGATTAATTTCATTTCTATGGCAATCCTGTTTGCAGAACGTATCTACGTTGGCAATACACAGAACATGAGCGCTTCACTATACCGTATATATTCATATAAAGATTTCTTCCATAATCAACAGCTTCTGCAAGGAGAGTGCAATGTTGGTTCTTCCTTCCACCATTTAATTACTATTTACAAACAGTGGTCTACTTACGACAGTTTGATCAGAGGTCCAAAGTGTATTATGGCAGTCGACAATAGACTTGCCTTTGTTTGTGACGGGTATCACAGGTGGGGCAGAATTCGTTCAACACTTCACGAACACCTCACTGCAGTAGTATCCGATAGTGCTTCATGCACACATGCTCGTGATAAAGTCGGAAATGAATAGGACACATTGACGGACCTAACGCATGAATCACCATCACTGTTGACAATACCAAGTGGGCGAGAAAAAGTGAGAGTATTTTGAGATAGACTTTAAATTAACAAAAACTGAGAGAAAACAAAACACCTCATAGATGCATCATAAAGGTGGTTTAAAATTCAGCTAAGGTCTCACACTTGGTATCCTTTATGATATGGCCTATGCAATTTGTTTCGCAACTTACATTTAGCTGTTTTCTAGGTTTTGTTCTAGGTCAAGTAGTCATCACGCTATCAGACAGATGTTGCTAGTCTTCTTAAGTACCTTAAAGAATCTGTCGACCAAATGTAATGCCAACCTCTACGAAAATCCCTTTCAGGTATTTGGGAAGTAGTACATTTAACTTGTGCAAAACAATCACCAGAACCAAACCCTTTGGATATTCTAGCTTACCAAAGCAGTATCTCTCGGAGCATCCGTGCATCTTCATTAGGTAGTACACATAGTAATGGCCACAGTTCTTCACCCGGATTGTTACTTGCTTCCTGCAAGGGTCGTTGTAGCCGCTGACGCACACTACTCTGTACACGGTGCCGTCGTTGATGGATGGGTGCGTCCCTGAAACAGATGAGGTGATACGGCTTGGATGTTTCGGTGAGTAGATCTATCTATAAACAGTAAGATACATCCAGTTCTGACTTGATCATGTTCAAGGGGGCGGTGGGGTAGCCTAGTGGTTACAGCGTTCGCTCGTCACGCCGAGGACCAGGGTTCGATTCCCCACATGGGTACAATGTGTGAAGCCCATTTCTGGTGTGATATTGTTTGAATGATTGCTAAAAGCGGCGTAATACTCAACTCACTCACTCACTCATGTTCGGGCAGCGGAGTCAGCTGGACAAAAAACCATCAAAGTGGGGTTGGGGGGTGGGGCTGGAATGTGTCTATGCTGTATCGGCTATATCCAACCTTCAAATAATAATACGTTGTTGACTTGTTGCGAAATCATGTTTCACAAATAGCACGACCTTCCAGTCAGCCATTTAATATCAGTTCACCTTCAGTTACTGAGGGGGGTCGTGGGGTAGCCTAGTGGTTAAAGCGTTGGCTCGTCACGCCGAAGACCCGGGTTCGAATCCCCACATGGGTACAATGTGTGAAGCCCATTTCTGGTGTCCCCCGCCGTTATGTTGCTGAAATATTGCTAAAATCGGCGTAAAACCAAAACTCAGTCAGTCAGTCAGTCAGTCAGTTAATGAGTTTTTAAACTTGTGTGGGTTTTTTTTGTGTTTAACGCATCAACACTATTCCAACTGTGTGACGGCGGTCTGTATATAATCCAGTCTGGACCAGAGAATCCAGAGATCAACAGCATGAGCATCAATCTATACAATCAGGATACGATAACGATAACGATAGACTCCTCTCACCACAAGCATGCCGGGTTGCTGAAGATCAATTCTAACACGGATCTTCACGGGTCGGGTTTTTAAAGAAATTGACATAACTGATACATTTAAGAATATAAATTGTAAATAGAAAGTAAAAATTTGATTTTGAAGGATGAATAAATGACTGTGATTGTTTGTGGATGTACCTTCAAAAGGGTTTGAAGTAGGGTAAACTAATTATATCCCTAAGAGGGTAAGTCCAATTTCATTCAAAGTATTGTTCATTCTGTGTGGTTTTAATCGTAGAATATTTGTTCTTTTAATGTATGGGTAATATGTACAAAAATATGCAACAGCTGGATGATGTGTGTAAACCCAGCTAAGGTCCATGCAGGAAGCAGAAGTACTGTTAGTCCCCATGGTTCCTGGTATAGTGTTCTACCTTCAGTTGTTGGTGATCTATAGTCCTTCTTCATATTGTATTGCTGTCTATATCTTTTTATGATAAAATGTAAGGTTTCAAGTACAAATCGGTGATACTCTTGTAGTTTTACTGTCCATTGACGACAAGTCATCTTCGATAATCTCCAGGGTATACGTTACGAGAAATCTCCACTAGTAGGTTCCACTACACTAAATGAGAATCACCTGCTGAGCCGGACCGTATGTGAACAAGTGAAGAGAGACAGAGACATGTGACAGCTGTGATTGGATGAAATAGTGTAAGATGTGTATTTTTTTTAAAAGCACATCCAACCAGTAATTAATACTGACCACAAATTTAAGTATTTAGTGCTGTGATTTGTATCACCATGACTTATGCTTATTGTGTGTAGGGATATTTTCCAGTAGGTGACATTTTGTGCGGAGCTGGGGTTGATATGTTCCGCTTCCTGTGCTCACAAAACAAGCCGGACAAGTTGGCCAGATAGTGTGTTTTATTGTAGTTTAAAGGCCAGAGTGGAATGGCTGTTGATAGCCTGGATAATCTTTCAAAAATATAAGGTTACTATAGAACTTTAAGGGAAAAAATTTGGTGTTGTGTAACCAGTACCCTGGATGCATCTATGGCTCGGCCCAATAATTTTATTAATTCCATTTGCTGGCTCCGCATTCTCACAGTAGCCAATCAGCTAAACCACCGTAACAACCGATCTTGCCAGTGTCAATAAAGATAGCGGTCGCAGTGCGACTCAGATTTGGGGGGAAATCATACAGACAAATTGACAGATCTGAAACCTTAAAAAATATATGCAAGAACTCTTTTTACCCCTTTCAGAGTACCTCAACAATTATGTTGCCAAGTTGAATCGGTTAGATAAAAGGAGCGAAAGTGAGTTGTGATTGATACGCTCAACTTCCCAGCGTAGACACCTGATTGGATAAAAAGCCAGCCAAGGGAGGTAATAAAATCACGGGGCTGAGCTGTAGATGCATCCGGGGTATAGTGGGGATTTTATCGGAACGTATACCCTGGAGATTATCGAGGATGACGACAAGTTTACATGTTCTAAATTTATTTAATTTTAATGAATAAACTGTTCTCGTCACGATATGACTGAAATATTGCCGATGTGACTCTTGATATAAACTCACTCACCATTCAGCCAACCGGGGTAGTTTGCGCCGCAGCTGTTGATGTCCACGTGGGATGTCGGCATCTCCAGAGACCCATGGTAGTTGACCACCTGGTACCAGTTCTCCGTGATGTAGCGGTCACACTCCTCCGGCTGGTAGGGACATTTAGGGCTGCGTCCCCCGTTGTCGTAGATGTACTTGTGGTCCACGCAGGGGTCGGATGTTGCCGCTGACAAAAGGTGAAAGATATTAATATCTGTAATCGGTCGGGTTTACATTTACCAATGTCAATAGGACGTAAACGGATGATGGTACTATTTCAACCGGTTCCTGTTAGTGTTTAAACGGACTAAGATTTTGTTGTGCTTATTTGTTTGGTGTTTAAGCCGCTCACAACAATATTCCAGCTATATGGCGCCGGTATGTAGAATAATTGATCATGAACTTCGATCTAACGCCATTGGGATATGATCATACGTGTCAACCAAGTCAGCGAGCCTGACCACCCGATCCCGTTAGTCGCCTCTTACGACAAGCATGGGTTGCTGAAGACCAATTCTAACCCGAATCATCACGGGTACCAGACATTATGAAATCCTATGACCAAATAAATATATGTATAAAAGGAAGAGTGGTGGTAAAACCTTAGATAGCTCACCTGTGAGTTGCGCTATCATAGCAATAGTGACAATGAGTTTCTCTGCCATGTTGGTAACGCTCATGGCGGATCTGTGTTACGCATATGGAAGAACTGTGTACCCGACCACGACGCAATGTCACGCTATATTTTCTCAACAAAGGTGTTTGGTAAACTGCCAGAGCAATGCTACCTGAAATGCTTACTCGCATTCACATATAACTGTCTTACGTTGACCTGGCTCCTCGGGTCAAGAGCGACTAACGGGATCGGGTGATCAGGCTCGCTGACATTGTTGGCAGATGTCATCGTATCCCAATTGCATATATCGATGCTCATGATGTTGATCACTGGATTGTTCGGTCCATACTCGGTCTGGTGCAGCGTTAAACGAACAAACATTTGAAATAACCTCTTTAGAAATCATTGCAGCTGCAGTTGCGAATGGTGAATATACCATCCGGATAGGTTACGTTGGAGAAGAATGTAAGGAACAATATCACGATCTATGAACTCCAATTATCGAGACATATGTCGCCCATGGACCGATGTGGTGGTGGTATTGTCGTGGTGCAAAGTGAAACAATTATGACTTATCCACAGAGAAACTGTGGGTGTTATATCGAGGTAATGTAAATAATAATCTATTGTTTCACAGCACTATAGTTAATAAGACTCTTGAGCCTTTATGCATATTGTATAATATATATGGGCAAGGTAATAAATTTAACAGATGTAATGCAATTACAGCACTATTTGATGATTTATGATCCTTTATGATCAAATAGTGTTGTAATTGCATTACATCTGTTTCTGTTAAGATTCAGTGGAAGTTTATAGCATTATGCTTAAACCATTACTGCAATGTTAATGTGAGTAGTGGTGTGAACGTTACCATATCAACTCCTCGAAGAGTAACAAACCAATCCAGAAAAATATGAAACTATCTAGAATGTGAATGACCATATAGGGTAAACAAGCGCATGTTGTCGTCCGCTCATATTACACCAATGTCAGCTGATGTGTACAGATCATATTTACATGCTAAAGTACTGTCGGAAATAGAAAAAAACTGTATTTTCTCATTTATCTCTACAATTTATGTAGTTGATATGTGCAAGTGTGAAATATCTGTTAAACTAAGTTCGGCCTAACTACAGTGTCAGTGGTAGGGACATAAGAAACGTAGAAAAAGGACTTTACTGAGGAGAGATTAGTGCTGAAATGAGCGATACGAAGCGTCCAAAACGATTTATTTGGAACACACCATGGCTTTATGCAAATCAGTGTGCGACGATCTTGTATTACAAAGGACACTTTTATAAATGCCCAATTTGAAATTAGACGTAGCTTCATTATATACGATAGCTGGCGTAAAAATAATAACTTTCATGCTAAAACTATGAAGGATGTAACTACCATGGAGTCTCACTGTAACTATAAAAAGAAACAGATAGGGGGGTTCGTCTCAAAAGCAAAACCTGGAGGTGTGTCGCAGACGATCGTTGGGGTCGGGTTGGGGGATAGAGATATCAGCTAAGATGAGATAATCCTTTAGGGCAATTATACTGGGAAAGTACACGGCATGTCATAACAATCTACAGTTCTGTAGATTTTCGCGTTTGGGTCGTCATGCCACTTATATATTTTGAGACATTTAATACGATGCGTTGCTATGGTTATCAGGTATAATACTCTTTTTACATATCTCAACGTAAACTTTATGAAAGAAAGACACGTAAGATGTTAATCAATAGATGAGACATAGTCAACACACATGAAAAAGCACAAAATATCTTTGAGATGCCCCCTTGTGCCTGTAGGCAGCACATGCATTTCATGCCAGGTGAGTCGACGGTCCGTCGTCATACCTGGCTGAGCGACCAAATTGCCATCTATAGTCTGATCTATTGTTTTCAGCAGCTATTCGTATTTTTTCTAAGTTTTGCCCGATTTTACGAGTAAACATGCTTTTCTGGATATCCTATTACTCACCCCACTGAATGCCAAGGCCGAAGTGGGTTATTTCGACATTTTCTAATTGCAGTTGTGTAAATTTTAGGGATACAGAGTAACAGCCTATAATACCAACATGTAACACGCACACCCACGTACATACATTTAGGTGCCTATATTACTATTACGACGAACCTGGGCCTTCTTTTCCTCCTCGGGATTGTCATTTTGAAAATTAAAACTTTGAAAAGGATGCATATCAAATGAGAAAAATGCAGTTCGTTAACACTACTACTCGCACAAACATAAGATACAAACACAATACAGAATTAACACCACTGTTTGGCGCTTGTGGATTTCGTTCACATCGTTTTCTTTTTCTGAGGGAGTGAACAATCACTTGATGCCCATACCCCTGATAATGCCCAACATAGTGGCATGTGAAGCAAAGAGATTTACAGTCAGGAAAGACAAGTCCTCACGAGGAAATGAGAATTACCCATCAGCCAAAATCTCTTTGCAAGAGGTCACACTGAAGACTGCAGGAGCTGCTAATGTATTGAGATTCTTATCTTGTTATAGTTGTTACCGACAAGCCATTTTTCATTAATATTGGATTAAAAGTGCCTGAAAAAAGTTGAAGGAGAAAAGGGGGTGAAATTACAGCAATATGTGAAGATAAAAATCGCAATATCCTCATGATCGTTCCTGTGATGGCTTTAGGAAGAATGGCAGCTTGCATATTTACTGGTCATCAAACATGTGACAGTTTCACGTAACATATGGGAAAGATTGGTAAGACCACGTAGTACCATAGACACTTTAAAGGTGCAAGAAAGAAACATTATCAAACCTCCCAAGTCTGTTGGTTGAAGAAAATGAAAGAACAAAATACCATTTCAGGAAAATAGAAACCCGGGAAGCAGCGATAAGCAAGATGTTACTACCCCATTCAAATCGCCGAGGGTGCTCAGAGGCAAAGTGGAATCAGAGCCACCACCCTGAAGAAGAATGGTTGCAAAGGGAATGCAAGATGGCGAGAAACGTCAAGGTCCCGGGGTGTTCTCACCTTCCAGCACTTAAAAGAAACGTGTCCATTGAACAAGAAACAGACTAGAGGCAGCAACACCCATTTGTAAAGTCACCAAACGATAATATCCAGGAAAAATGGAAGATCTATTCTTACTAGTCAGTGGACTAATAAAAATCTGTTCTTGTAATCGCTGACTATGAACGTAAATAGAAATTGTAAAACATAATTACTGTGCTGGGAGAATTACATCTATTTGGGATTCTAACTAAATCAGAACTACAACCCAGAACAAGAAAAGGTTCAGTCGGACGAGGTGTTGATACAGACAGCCAACTGGCATTGTTAGCGCAAAGCCCAAGTGAAATGAGTTCCCTAACAAGAATTCTCTCCTCATGCGTTTTGTGTCAAGATCCCGGAACGAATATGAATGTGATCTGCCTCTATAATATCAGAGCAAAAGAAACCACTAATGCACAACAGCAGATGTTCAGAGTGAACTGAATTCATTACAGACATTTCACTGATGGAAACATCGTAACCTGAATATACCAACTTTCTACCTCTGTCATCCAGCATATCTCTACCAAGTACCTTAACTCTGACTCCAGGAATTTATATATACTATCCAAAAAAAGAAACGCATATGCGATTTGTATTTTTAAAAATCTATTAATTACCTACTGTGTTCAAACAATCGTCAAAATATGTAACAAAAGTGTTGATAAGATGATGTTACACAACTGCATAAGTAAAAAATCGATTTTACCTGAAAATGTTGATTTTCATGAGATTTCTTACAAGGATTAAAAAGGCATCGCCACAACGCAACAGAAATCACCTTTAGGTTGAAATTGTGCAGCAAAGAGCATGCACTGTCTAGCAATAAAAATCCAAATTACTATCAGAAATCGGCATTCGTTTTTAAGGATTTTCAAGGTCAAATCACTACGCCCCGTCTTGACTCTGCGACACGGAACATCGCCATTGAAGAATGCACGCTGGAGATTACCAACCTTCTGTTGCCAGGCATCTGAATGTTAATCTGAGCACGATATCACGGCTTGCAGCTCGTTACATCACTAGCTGGCGATCTATATGTTCATGTTTATCACTCTCTGTGATATTCTAGTTGCTTCACTGTCCTTTGTCGACAGATTTTATAATATACTATTCACGCTTTGCTAAGGATCAAATCATGGATTCAACAGAAAATTATGATGTGGGTTCAAATTTGGTGTAAATATCTAAGCTTATTGTAAGCATGGATCCTAGGTTTCAGTATGTCATTTCATCTTGTGGAACCCATACCTGCTATTGACAGGTATTGCGTATTTGTCAATGGCTCGTTCCATGATTTGCAAAATGGTTGATTGGTGCCATGAAAGCAAGTTCTATGGTTACTCATGTATCAAGTGCATAAGGTTAGGTTCAAGTGAGTGTTTGCCTATAAAAGGGTTACTATATTATTATTTCTCCAGTTTTAAATGGATACACTTTCAAATTATAAATCTACGTTTAAGTAAAGTTGTGAATTTTGTGATCCCAGCAAAGTGTGAGTAGTATATAACATTCTTTATTATCACTGTATGATCATGGACTATTACCGATGTGACTATAAAGCTCAACTCACTCACTCACTCACCCCATGCAAGTAGTAAGGATTTTAATCAGAGCATATGTGTTGTCTTAATCCATGGCTGAATTTGCCAAAATCACCAGGGATTGAAGGGATGATGTAAATTTAGCTAGAGTACATGCTTGTAGCAAAAACACTGAAAGTTCCCATGATCCCTGGTAAGGTGATCAGCCTTAACATGCTGGCGATCTACAGCCCATTTATATATGATATAGCTCTAACGATGTAAGAATCTACATCGAAACGTCGCTCTCTGCAATAAATAAGAAGTTGTCATCCATAAACTTGTATGTTTCATTTTTTCATCTCACACAGTCTCTGGGCGATTAAATCATCCTTCAGAGATCTGATTCTCAGGTCAGTTTTGCCGATACTTCCTCTTTCTTACAGGTCCTCTGCTGGATCTTATCCTCAGCCACTGACTGTTCTTACTGAATGAGACGTA